ATTATTACAATTAATGGCAAAATGAATGTTTGGAAATGTAAACTGATATTTCCTACTGACACACTAGTGCTCTAATAATTTTGGCCACCACTATATATATATAGACCTGTATATATATATATGCATATTTTGCAATAATCGTAAACAAACTTTTGTTTCTATATACACAATCATCATGATTTGTAGGGCTGGGTATTGATTCAGATGTCCCGATTCGATTCGATTTCGATTCGCAAGCTCTCAATTCGATTCTCGAAAATAAAGATTTATTAATATTTATTAGCAGTAGTAGCATTGAGTCTTAAGACTGCTAAATAGTAATATATTCTGAGTTTCTTAACGTTAAACTAACCTTTTATTTTGACGGGTTGCCGTGAAGAACTTGCAGCTGCTGTGTATGTGATATGACGGTAGATTTCTCAAATGAAACGGTAAAATGCTAATGAAGTGGCTCTCAGAGCAGCTGGAGATGACATTCGTGTTCTTATCATCATATAGTGAGACGGCAGAAGCTGAAAACACCGCGAGCGTCATCCGCGCTTTAGTATGTGTAAACAAAACCGCCATTCATTCATTGCGGAAATCATGGCGCCTTATGCGTGATATCAAATGCTTCCGCAGATTTGTAGTATTACTATAGCATTTCACCTGAGCATTGCGAATCACGCGTATGGCCATGATAAGTGCTGAATGAACGTAACATCGCGCAAGGTAAATAAGGGTGACATCTAGTGGAGAAGACTAATGATAAGATTCACGTTAATCAGATCTTATTTTAAATGTGTGCTGAAATAAATCCCGGAAAAGATCGATTCGCGGCTTCTGAGAATCGATATCGAATCGACATCATTAAAAAAAAAAAAAAACGATTAATCGAAAAATCGATTATTTTTTTTGCCCAGCCCTAATGATTTGTCCGTCAGTTTTATTTTGATTATGTTATTTGAAATGCTTCATGGGTTTGTAGTTCTTTCTCATATTAAAGCCATTGAGTACACAGTCTTGAACCTTGGTATTTGTCCGATTTTCAAATACTTCTTTGCTTCAAATCAATGTTTTGTAATGTTGTGATTCACCAAACCAACACATACACAGGAAGTAGCTGGTCAGTTTTAATATCTTACAACTTCAAAGATGTTTTTAAAAATCCCTATAGGAAAAATAATTCTGAAGCCAAGGCACTGAAGAAATAGGTGGCAATAATGCACTCTATTCTAATGTTAATAAACAGCTAAATAGCTTTTTAGGCATTGTTTTAGCAAATCTTACTCTATTTTGATATTTAACACCTACTTTTCACCATCCAATCATTTTGTGATGGATAAACTCCCAACTGCCACTCTACATTTTTTTTATCATGGAATATTTGGTTTAACTCAGAAATGTCACATTACAAATAAAATGGGTTGCAAGCAGAGTTTCACATTAACTTTAACATGTATTTGCTTTTATTGTTGTTGGATGAATCACAGCCACTGCTATTAAAGGGTTAGTTCACCCAAAAATGATAATTCTGTCATTAATTACTCACCCTCATGTCGTTTCAAACCCGTAAGACCTTCGCTCATCTTCGGAACACAAATTAAGATATTTTTGATGGAATCTGAGAGCTGTCTGACCCTGCATAGACAGCAATGCAACTGAAATGTTCCCAAGTCCAGAAACATAGCAAGGGGATCGGTAAAATAATCCATGTGACATCAGTGGTCCATCCGCAATTATACGACGCTACGAGAATACTTTTTGTGCACAAAAGAAAAAAAAAAAAACGACTTTATTCAACAATTCGTCTCCTCAGCATCACCCTGGTGCCATTTTGGAGAATATCCGCTGGACGTAAACAGCGTATGCTGTTCTGTCAGCTGCGTCACGCCGACACGACATGAAGGTGAGTAATTAATGACAGAATTTTCATTTTTTGGTGAACTAACCCTTTAAGTGTGTGGTTTATAATATGGAAAATCAGAACACCACATACGTTCTTAGGAAATTCTTTGCTCACAGTGCTCTCCACTCCATCCTTCAAAGCAGATACACTTAAACTTTGACCTCATGTCACTGAGAGGAAGAGCTTCATGGGTACCATGTAGAGGGATCATGTAACCTGAGTGAGGGTCCTGTCGAGCGCACCGTCCCTGGGCGTTACACATTCTTTTACTGCAGTTCCTGACACCAGCCTGCAGGGAGGCGACATATTCTCCTAATACTGAGCTGATGTAATCACGCAAGAGAGCACACTGCCGCTGGAGAAAGACAAACATATAACAGCTGCAACAATAAGTAACAAGATATGTGCCAAGTCTAATACCGAATATTATGCATTTTCAGTTTGTGTACTGAAGGTGTTTGGACTTATAGGGAGCATTAGGTTATCGCACAAAGGTAAATCCAAACTATAAACCCTCACACACACAGTTAGGCCTACTGACCTTAGACTTGGCAAAACTCAGCTCGCCCCATAGCACAACTCCAGTGGCACCTAAAGCAGCACTCTCACCTAGTGTGTGCTCCAAATCAGTCTGAAAAGATACACACATACTATGACAGAATCACAGAAGAATTTAGTTTTTAAAATCAGATCAGCCTGAATTAGATTATTATATTATATTCTAGCAATTACTGATAACTGATAATTATTTTAATGTTATGGCTGTTGACCAGAATTAAAATTGTCCAATATTAAAATTCTAAAATATTTTGTGTGAATAAGTAAATAAATAAACACTGAAAATTAAAAATAAAATGCTTTTAAATGCTAGTTGAATTGAGCTATCACAACATTATAATGTACAGTATAAGACATTTTGAAATGTACTAAAGATTAAATTTAGCAGTGGTTTTAATAAATATTAAACAATATTTTATTATTATTAAACAATACATATATTTAAAAAAAAAAAATGTTTTTAAAAATTAACATTAATTGACTGTCCCCTTGAATAAGGTTAGTTACCTTTACAGTAACCAAAAATGTATATTTAGTATGTACAGCAGCACTATGCACTTACAAGCCATTGGCCAAGAATTTACATTCTTGCATACTTGAATTGAGCAGGATTCTGAGCTAAAGGAGAACTATCTGCTTAAAAATGTGAATGAGGTGAGTCACCTATGGCTGTACTGGGAACAAGCTCAAAACTAAACCCCTCCTCTTTCAATATCTATTCTATCATGATAAGACTGGACCTCAGAACAAACGCAATGTAAAACACCGTGTGGAAACTGTCAAAGGGTTCTTGTGTTGGTACCCGATTAAGAAATGCCAATGTGTGTGTGAATGCCACTCTGGTGTAGGGAAAAACAGGAAGTGCTTCAGTGCCAGGTGAATGCTGGGATGCCACTCGGAGGGCCTCAAGTACACGGTGTCTCACCATGAGTTGAGCATGTGTGTGTCCTGCCAGCTTACGCCACAAATAAATGCTGGGATACAAGGCGGTGGAGTGTTGCCACAAAAATGCCAGTTTATCATTCAGAATCTCTGTTCCATTGTGGCACTGCCCCGTGTATCCACTCTGTCCTTGGCCATGATTGTTATAGCAACTGGGAAACCCATAAAACCCCCATAATCCCTCTGGGCAGAGGCGAACACCTAGGTGTAGAGTCTCTTCCATAAATGCTCTTGCTTCTAATTCAAACTCCGCTTTCGCCTCAGATTTCACTTCCTCTTCTGACATATCTGGATGTTTCCACCTAACCAGGTTTTTTGAAAATTTCCGATATACAATTCTGGTCCCAAAGTTCCACATCCATACAGGCTGCCATGCTTCCCAATCTAGCACGGCTAATCCTCTGAATGTCTTTCTCAACACCTCACTGATCTGCACCTCGGCCAATGAGAGGTGAGCTTTCAGGGATCCTAGTTGAGGCAGGCCACCATTGACCTTTGAGCCCTGACGGTTGATGTAGGGGTAAAGGCCCAGACGGCGCTGATAAAATATGCTCATATTCTGACCCTGAAATCTCTGCTTTGAGTTATGTATGATGTTGAACTGGTGCAGTGGCAGGGAGACCCCATATCGATGCTGACACCAAGCTGTAGGTATATTCCAGATCACTGAAAAGTCACGCCTCCCGATGACAGACTCCACCCCCTCAACCATATTCTGAACAGAGTTGCTGGGAGACAATATGATTGACAGGGCTAAGGTGAGGATGGGATGGTGAATAGATGATCTCAGAAGCATGCCTATGAAATACACACACAAATTAGTGTCATTTATATCTGATGGAAAAAAAAGCAAATAATCAAGAAAAAAAAGTATATAAAACCATAGGCTAAGGTGGTTTAAGGTGGCTAAGGTAGACCATAGGCTAAGCACAACATGAATTTCCTATTATTCTGTCTATACCGGGGGAGTTGAGAGGATGTCCTGTGTTGTGAGTATACTTCATCTAAAACTGGTTTGAGGTATACCTATGGTTGCCTGATAACCATATCAGAGCAGATCCGTAATGGTAATCATTGTAAGGTGTTCTCATAAAGTTTTGAACATTTATTTTTATGTATGCACTCAATAACTGATGTTCTATTCATTGTTAATAAAAAAAAAATAGCAGTTTACCTTTAAAAAAAAACACTTTGTGGCCATTTACTAAAACCAACTAACCTAAACATGTTTAAAAAACATTTTTTGAAATGATGAAAAAATAAATGTTGACCAGTTACAGGTCATATACACTTTACTTATACATTTATATATTTACATACACTACTGTTCAAAAGCTTGGGGTTCAAATGGGTGTTTCTTTTTGTTGTTTCTTTAATTAAGAAATTAGGGACACTTGTTTTCAACACTGATAATAATAAAAATGTTTCTTGAGCACCAAATCAGCATATTAGAATAATTTCTGACGGATCATGTAACACTGAAGACTGGAGTAATGGCTGCTGAAAATTCAGCTTTGCATTACAGGAATAAATTATATTTTAAAATATATTCAAATAGAAATCAGTTATTTTATTTATTTCACAATATTTCTTGTTTTACTGTTATTTAGTCAAATAAATGCAAGCACAAGAGACTTCTTTCAAAACATATTACCAACCCCAAACTTTTGAACTGTAAATTTTAACATAAGTTGATAAAAAGGAAAAGTCCATGGAAACAATATGCATCAACTACCCAACCTCAAATCTTGATCCTATGAAATGGCAAGTGTAACACTTGAAAAGTTTATAGAGTTTTTATTTTGATGAAATCCATTAAAAGCAGCACATCATCTCAGCAGTGACATTTGTTTTAAAGGGGTGTGATAGAAGACATCCTTGCAATTATTTATTTTTTAATAAAAACTAAATAATTAGCAGTTAAAACACAAAGTAAACATTGGTATTAAGGCACATTCAGATCACAGTATTTTGAGTCAATACAGTTCAAACAGTTCAGGTTTACAAGATCCTTCTTGTCCTGTAAACACTGTGTTTGTGTATCCCTGAATAATTACAGACTGAAGAAGTGTAGCATGAGTCTCAGATGTCCTTGTGCATCCAGAAGATGGGCAGCCCTCTGTTGTCGGTGTACGGCATTTGCTCCAGAGTCTGTGTAACTGGAGCCAAGGATGACGGAGGACAAGATGGAAGAGGTGGAGGAGCAGGAGGACTGGAGAGTGGAGGAGGAGGAGGAGGAGGAGGAGGTGGTGGTGGAGGAGGCGGTAAAATGGAAGGTACAGATGATGCAGGATTGTTAAAATTAGCATCACTATTCCTCCCTTCCTCCTCGTTCTCTGCGCTTCTACAGAACTTGTGCAGCACCTCCATGGGCATGAAGGAGGCCAGCGTCCCGACACTTTGGACAGGTTTGGACAGCACAAACCCTAGATGGGCATAGAAGTGCTGCTTATCATGGGTGGTAAGGCACAATCGGGTGCAGCCCCGTCCTTTGGCATACCGCTCAACACCCTCCATCAGGATACGGCCGTAACCCTTCCCTCGTAATGTGCTGCACACCACGACCGACTCCACAAACAGACTACGCCTCCCCAGAACGTGGGACAAGCGGGCGTGGCCTATCAGCTTCTCGTCTTGAGTCTGTCTCTCCCCCTTCAGCAGCAGGAGACACACTGGATAGCTGTGGCTCGACTGACGGAGCGAGTGAATTCGCGCCCCCATGCTGCGCTGCCATTGGGCATTGAGTAATTCTGCACAACCTTCCACTAGGTCCCAGCGCTCGTGAAGAGGTTCAATTCGAACGACTGCACAGCTGATGTTGCCATCGCACCTGCACACACGCCAAGGGCACGGGGTCAACACCTGACTGAACAGCTCAGATGTCATTAAAGGGATAGTTCACCCAAAAATAACAATTTTATGTTTATCTGCTTAACCCCAGGGCATCCAAGATGTAGGTGACTTTGTTTCTTCAGTAGAACACAAACGAAGATTTTTAACTCAAACCGTTGCAGTCTGTCAGTCTTATAATGGAAGTGAATGGGAATCACGGCTTTGAGAGTCACAAAAAAAACATACACAAACAAAACCAAATTATACCCTGCAGCTCGTGACGATACATTGATGTGTAAAGACACGAAACGATCGGTCTGTGCAAGAAACTGAACAGTATTCATATTGTTTTTTACCTCTGATGCACTGCAATGTCTGAACTGTCCTGAGCACGTCCTCAACAGCCGGCGGGTGACGCGTCTTCTTCTTCTTGCTTTACGGCGGATCACAGACTTATAAGTGCATTACCGCCACCTCTCTCTCAAATGGACCATTGACACTCCTAATTGAGATTGTGTGTAAAGCAAGAAGAAGAAGACGCGTCAGGCGCCGCTGTCGAGGACGCGCTCAGGACTAGTGATGGCGAGATGAAGCCTTATGAAGCATTGAAGTTTTTCATCCAAGTGGTTCACAAAAGGGTTCATTTCTCGAGGCCTCATCTGCTCACAATACCACCTGATGGCCAAAGAGTGTAAAACAAGCAGATACATTACAGATGACCTGATGTGATCTATGACACACTGTTTTGCGCCAGTTAAGGCTTAGAAATAACGGTGAAGAAAAAAAAAAATCAATTTCCACATAGACTAATCTATTTATATGAATATAATGTGTATTTTATAATGATTGTATAACATAATACAACATAATTGTGTAATAAACGTATTGGCTTGAAATGAATGGGGCTATCAAATGTGTGTAAATCAAGTCTTTGCTCATAATAGGCAGGAGGGGCAATATTATTAGTCTAAAACTGGAAAGTGGCTGAGTTTAACAGGGCAGAGGACCGTGAATTTACAAGATTCGAACCGCTTCCTGAACCAGTCAGGCCAAGCGAGGCTTCGGACATCATCAATGACATCATTGCTCTAAAGCGATACAAGCCTTGATACGCGCTTCACTGAAAGTTGAGTCACCTACATCTTGGATGCCCTGGGGGTAAGCAGATAAACTTTTTGGGTGAACTATCCCTTTAACGTAATGGTCTTCATTCATTTGGGATAGGTTCTTTTTTATTCAACCTCTTGTTGTTCCAAACCTGTATGACTTTTTTCTTCTGTGGAACACAGAAGATATTCTGAAAATATTTAAATGTTGTTTTTGTTTTTTTTTGTCAGTACAATGAAAGTCAATGAGGACCAATCATGTTGTTTTGGACCCCACTGACTCATTGTACAGAGAAAAACAGCTGAAACCTTCTTCAAATGATCTTCTTTTGTGTTCCACAGAAGAAACATCATTCAGGTTTGGAAGAACATCAGAGTAAGTAAATTATGAAAGAATTTTCCTTTTAAAGGATTTAACTTTCATATTTTTTCCCTTCCATTAACAGCCTTGAAGAACAAAGGTGGAGTATCCACTTGATTTCTTATAAATCTGCAGTTATTTCTGTAACGTGCTGCAACAGCTGTCAGTTGTTTTCAACACTCAACAGTTTTTATCACCATCACTTCCACATGTCATTTTCAGAGGCAAAAGTTAGAATAATAAAAAGGAAGACTGACTTTGTAAGTAATTCACAGCACTGAAGCAACCAACAAGCAAATAACAACAGCAACAGATTATTTCATTAGCAGTTTTCTTTTTTTCATAACACATATATGAAACAAATTTTTTTTTTTATCTGTTGAAGTCAAAATAGCAGAGGAAGTTGTGGTGTGAATGTGTGATTCCTGTTATACCACATGGACTTCATGCTAATGTGAATTGTACTGTAGTTTAGAAAAGAATGACTGAAGACAACAAAAAAAGACATTTACATTTTTAAGTACAGTTTAGACATACTTTCAGTCACTAACTTGAAACTTCATTGCATTTACTTTGCAATTCCTTCGCATTTCCTATGTATGAATGCAAGTGAACGAAGCAAGAACCTTAAAGGGATAGCCTAGTTTGAACAAAAATTAACCAAACCCATTACCAAATAATCACCCTCATGTTGCTCCAAAACTGTATGCTTTTTTCTTCTTCTGTGAAACCTAAAAGAACATATTTTTATGGAATGTATATATTGAATGGAGGGGAAAAAAATCTTTTATATTCCACAAGAGACAGTTTTGGAACGACATGACAGAATTGTAGTTTTTGCCTGAACTAGGCTATCCCTTTATTCTTGTTGTCATCTGATATGGCTTTTATCAATGCACCTAGAGAGCAGGGTGGGCAATGGTCAATATGCTAATATATATATTAAAGTAGTTTTGCATGACTGCAAATGAGATGCACAGAAAATTGCTGAAATTAAACAAGCTTTCCTTTTACACGATACTTCACATTTCATTTTGCAATTAACAAGAATGTCGATAGCTTAGTACACCAAGGGAAGCAATGGTAGTTGACCAAGTGGACATACAAAAGTAACATGCATATATTCTCTTTTCTAGCTTGCTTTCTAATATCGTTTTCTAATAAACCCCAGAACTTCAGTTTATATATTCATATTGTTGGCTTCCTCTTTTAAAAGTCGCTTTGGGTAAAAATGTCTGCTAAATGCATAAATGTAAATAAATTATAGTTTCTTTGCTAAAATCAAACACAGAACCATGACTGGACTAAAGGATTTGAACCCAGATTCAATGTTCCGACATAACCCATTGTAAATAAAAACATAAATCTACCAAACTGTAAACACCAAAAAATTAGCAAAAGTGCAAATAAAACAACCAGCCTCACCTGCAGCCCTCAGAGAGACAGAACTGTCAGTTAATGTTTCAAAGTTGTGTCTCATGCAACTGAAGGTTAAAATCAGGAAACAAGAGACTTTTAAGTGACCTCTTTCTCTGTAAGCTCACTTTAACACTGGCCTGGGGTCAGTTTGGCCCATTCTCTTGTATTAATTACTTTTATTTTGGTATGGAGAGCCTGGTTCTAGATCAGTAATGAGAGGAAACAGCTCTCACGACTTTACCAAGCCAAGTGTGAAATGCTGATGGGAAGTGTGTTGGGTTTTGAGAAGGTTGCGCTTATAAATGTTTGCAAACCCGAATATGGAGATAACAGTAAAGCTATTCAGAGCACTGCCATTTAACTTGTTCGTGGAATAATTGGATTTTCCTGGGGGGTTTTTTGAACTCTCAGATCAATTGAGCCCCGAATTTTGGCTGAACCCAGTAATGCATTTGTTTTATTCAGACTGATCGTGATGCACAGCCAGACAGAAACAGCGAGTCATTCATTCGTCAAAGGCCACGCGACTCTAACGGGTACTGAACAGTTTGATTCAAAAACGTCTAAAAACGGCAACAGCTTAATAACTATCATATCGTCTTTATAAAATTATATACTAAAGGCTTGTATCTTTAATCAACATTAACAGCATGCCACAAGAGTACAACACGACAGACCGCAAGTCAAAGAAGTGAACAGATAAACGAACAAACGCAGAAAGCGGTTATGATTCCCGTTCGACTGCTTGTGAGAGACACATGCGTTTTATTTTAGATTAGTTTATGAGACCTTATCTGTGATACTTACATGTTGATAACTTTATCGCTGTCACAGCAGCTGTTTTGAATCTCCTTCTTCTTCTAGTGGAGCAGATGGAACAGCGCGAGTCGATTTACTGCCGCCTACTGGCCATGTACACTACATCATCTTCTTCTTCTTCTTCTTATGATGTTTAATGGCGGTTGGCAAACCAGCTTTTGGTGCATATTCCGCCACCTACTGGGATGGAGTGTGAGGCGCTGATATCAAGGGAAATGTTAATTCTCAAAAAAAACAAAAAAACAAAAAAACAACAACCTTCTACCTATATTTTCACTACATCATCTTGTACATTCTGGAAGTACTGTAAGCCTGCTGTGCTCCGCTGCATGAATAGCAGTGCTCACATCAATTTATATACAGTGGAGATCAAATTTAAAGAACAATCTATAAATACTTGATTGCTGAATACTTGTTCTTCTTCTGAAATATTGTTAATCATCATCGCTCAAAATTTGAAGGAATATTATTAGCCAAGTATACCACTGTTCTACTAACATGTTTGACAACATTTCCAAGGCATTTCAACAAAAAACTTTATTTTGTGGAAAACACAGTGATCAAAATTAGAGAACAGTAACCACTTTAGCACGAAAGAAGAGGTAACGACAATAAGGTTCCATTAGTTAATGTTAATGTATTAACTGACATGAACAACGAACAATACACTTATCACAGTATTTATTCATCTTTGTTAATGTTAGTTCATTCAAATACAGTTGTTCACTGTTAGTTCATGTTAATTCACAGTGTATTAACTAATGTTAACAAGCACAACTTTTGATTTGAATAATGCATAAGTAAATGTTGAAATTAACATTAGATTAATAATTGCTCTAGAGTATTGTTCATGCTTAGTTGATATGAACTAAAGTAGTTAACTAATGAACCTTATTGTAAAGTGTTACCAAAGAAGATTGCAACCGAAATTTTGGAGGGTTACAGCCAGGGCCGGACTGGGACGCAATTTCAGGCCGGGAAATCTCACACTCGTCCAGGCCACACAGAAAAACAGGGCCAAAATTGTACCTTTTTGGGTACAACAGCTTGACACTGTAGCAGTACACTTGTACATATTAGTAGTAATTCATACCCTTAAGGTACTAATTTGTAGGCCTACCTATTAGGGGTAAAAAAGGAACAAATATGTCCTTTTAAGGGTCTTGTTCCAGTGACAAGCTGTTGAACCCCAAAAGGTGCAATTTTGGCCCCTTATTTCCTGTATATAGCCTATACATCCACAACAATTTCTGAAACCAGACAACCCTATTATTTGTATGGCCATCACATAAAAAAAGGACTAAATCCTTTGTCTGGAGCAGTGGAAAATAATTAAAGGTTCTCTCTTGCACTGCCCCTTCACGTCCCTTTCCCTTTTCTTCATTCATTTTCCCCAACATCTCTGTCCCTCCCCTCCCCGTGAACTGTGTCCACCTTGTTGAAAACATTCACCTCATTTCAATTTGTTAGCAAAGAATGTTATTTATCTTACAATGACTTTGTGGCGAGGGGGGCGTGGTTCAGCGAAGTCTGCAGCGGGAGAGAGGGACGGGAGACGAGCGGTGAGTAAGTAGGTCAAGTGCAAAATGATGAACACCTGTGTCTGATTGCAGTAATTAGCCTGGAGAGACCGGATAAAAGGGCAGACTGGAGAACGTGGTGGGGAGAGAGAGAGACTGGGACTCGTGGCCATCCCTGAGCTGGAGGAGGAGGAGGAGGAGGAGGAGAACCACCGACTGAACTGAGTTTATGCCCTGGGCAGATTGAGAACGCGCTGGAAGCGCCCCGTTCGTGTTTTGTTGAACTTTAAGGAAATAAATAAAAGAGCCACGAGTCTCCAAACCGCCTACCTGAGTCACTTCCTTCTTCCCACTACGAACTTTGTTACAGACTTAAATACCCTAGATTTAATAAACCTATATTTCATACAAATATACACTACCGGTCAAAAGTTTTTGAACCGTAAGATTTTTGATGTTTTTAAAGAAGTCTCTTCTACTCACCGAGCGCATTTATTTGATAAAAAGTACAGAAAGAGCAGTAATATTGTGAAATATTTTTGCTATTTAAAAATACTATTTAATATAACTGCTTTCGATTGGAATATATATGCAAAATGTAATTTACTACTGTGATCAAAAAGTTGAATTTTCAGCATCATTACTCCAGTCTTCAGTGTCACATGATCCTTCAGTAATCATTCTAATATTCTGATTTGCTGTTCAAGAAACATATTTGTTGTTGTTGTTGTTGTTATTATTATTATTATTATCAATATTTAAAACAGTTGAGTACATCAGGATTCTTTGATGAATAGAAAGTTCCAAAGATCAGCATTTATCTGAAATAAAAAGCTTTTGCAACATTATCCATGCACTATACCAAAAGCTTGGAGTCAGTATAATTTTTTTTAAGCAAGGATGCTTTAAATTGATCAAAAATTATTAATAAAGACATTTATAATGTTACAAAAGATTTCTATTTCAGATAAATGCTGTTCTTCTGAACTTTCTATTCATCAAAGAAACCTGAAAACTGTTTTCAACATAATAATAATAATAATGTTTTTTAGCAAAAAAATCAGAATATTAGAATGATTTCTGAAGGATCATGCGACACTGAAGACTGGAGTAATGATGCTGAAAATTCAGCTTTGAAATCACAGAAATAAATTACATTTTAATACTAATATTTCACAGTATTAATGTTTTTGTGGCGAGGGGGGCGTGGTTCAGCGAAGTCTGCAGCGGGAGAGAGGGACGGGAGACGAGCGGTGAGTAAGTAGGTCAAGTGCAAAATGATGAACACCTGTGTCTGATTGCAGTAATTAGCCTGGAGAGACCGGATAAAAGGGCAGACTGGAGAACGTGGTGGGGAGAGAGAGAGACTGGGACTCGTGGCCATCCCTGAGCTGGAGGAGGAGGAGGAGGAGGAGGAGAACCACCGACTGAACTGAGTTTATGCCCTGGGCAGATTGAGAACGCGCTGGAAGCGCCCCGTTCGTGTTTTGTTGAACTTTAAGGAAATAAATAAAAGAGCCACGAGTCTCCAAACCGCCTACCTGAGTCACTTCCTTCTTCCCACTACGAACTTTGTTACAGACTTAAATACCCTAGATTTAATAAACCTATATTTCATACAAATATACACTACCGGTCAAAAGTTTTTGAACCGTAAGATTTTTGATGTTTTTAAAGAAGTCTCTTCTACTCACCGAGCGCATTTATTTGATAAAAAGTACAGAAAGAGCAGTAATATTGTGAAATATTTTTGCTATTTAAAAATACTATTTAATATAACTGCTTTCGATTGGAATATATATGCAAAATGTAATTTACTACTGTGATCAAAAAGTTGAATTTTCAGCATCATTACTCCAGTCTTCAGTTTTTTATTATTATTATCAATATTTAAAACAGTTGAGTACATCAGGATTCTTTGATGAATAGAAAGTTCCAAAGATCAGCATTTATCTGAAATAAAAAGCTTTTGCAACATTATCCATGCACTATACCAAAAGCTTGGAGTCAGTATAATTTTTTTTAAGCAAGGATGCTTTAAATTGATCAAAAATTATTAATAAAGACATTTATAATGTTACAAAAGATTTCTATTTCAGATAAATGCTGTTCTTCTGAACTTTCTATTCATCAAAGAAACCTGAAAACTGTTTTCAACATAATAATAATAATAATGTTTTTTAGCAAAAAAATCAGAATATTAGAATGATTTCTGAAGGATCATGCGACACTGAAGACTGGAGTAATGATGCTGAAAATTCAGCTTTGAAATCACAGAAATAAATTACATTTTAATACTAATATTTCACAGTATTAATGTTTTTGCTGTATTTTGGATCAAATAAATGAAGGCTTGGTGAGCAGAAGAAACTTCAAAAAACATTTAAAAATCTTACTGATCAAAACCTTTTGACTGGTAGTGTATTAAAACACAATTTCTAAAGTGCCTAAATGTCAAAATTAGTACAATATATTTGTTGAAAAAGTCTAATACACTATTGAATTATTAGGCTGTGAGCCTGTTACTCATTATTTTTGTGTTGCTGTCTGCTCTAGCTCCCTCCCTCCCTGTACAATAAATCCACGTGAATATCTATCTCTGCTAAATTGTTTAATGTAACTTTACAATCGATATTGATATCCTTTAGCACAGTATTCTGAATGATGATCATAATGAGATGCTACTGATAGCCTAACAGATACTAGCAGTTTAATACTCAACTACGTTAATAAAAGACAAAACTATCTAGCGTATTTACAGATGAAACTGACCTGCACTTGAAGCCCTGAACAGGTTAGTTATGTTGCTACATTTCACTGCTGCTTCTGGCCGCTTTCTCTCTTTCATCGAGTCCCGCGCATCGGTTCTGTTAGGAACCGTTTGACGGAAGCGCGGAACACACGTGAGCTGATTCGTATAGCGCAGCGCTGCCAGTCAAAGCTAACCGATTTATGATTTATTATCGATTTATTATCGAATGAAAAAATCGGAAATTATCATTTTGGTACCTTGAGAAGGCATGACTATAAAATATTAATAATAATAATAGCTAAAAAAATAAAATAAAATAAAAAAACGGACAGCGGGCGGGACCGGGAATTCTCCCGGTGCTCCCGATGGCCAGTCCGGGCCTGGTTACAGCTGTTAGAAATTATTAGGAAGTGTAGAGGCCCTTGGTCCATTCTTCTTCCAGTCTCTTCCATAGCTCGGTAACTGTAGTGGGTTTCTTAGCCATAACTTTGTCGAAGATTTTCAGTTGGGTTTAGATCAGGACTCTGGGCCCGCCATTCCATTATTTCAATGTTCTTAGCTTCAAGGAACAGCTTTACCCATTTTGCAGTGTGAAGGGGTCATTGCCTTGCATGAAAACTGCAGGCTGATTGGGAGATGCTGCAGGGAAGGAACTGCATGTTGCTAAAGGAGGTCCTGATAAACATCTGTATCTGTATAAGAGGCCCGACTGCTGCTGCAGAAAACATCCTCCAAACCATGACACTTCCTCCTCCAGCTTTCACTGACTTCTTTACGCACTCGGGGTTCAGTCTTTCCCCAGTTTGAAGAAAATGTTTTCCATTGGACCCAAA